CACCTTGAGCTTGCCAGACAGACAATTTGCTGCTGAGCTATACCCCCAGCCGTATCTCTATTTCCTATAGTGAACTTCAGTTTGCTGTGTCATTATGATGAAAAATAAAAGATTACCTGCCACACGCTGTATGTTGCAAAGTATTTAAAAATGTTAAAGTGGGGGCCAGGGAGATGGCTCAGTGGAATAAGCGCTTCCCTGGCAAGCGCAAGGGCCTGAGTTCAATCCCTGGTTCTGCCAAAATCAATCAATCAATCAATCAATCACCTTAAAGGGAAAATGTAAAAGCTTTCCTAAAAATGTTAAAGTGCAAACTGTAATTTTTTCTAGACATTAACACAGAAATGGTGGAACTGCCAGGCATGGTGGTGCGCATCTGTGATCCCAGCACTTGGGAGGCTGAAGCCAGAGGATCACTGCGAGTCTGGGGTCAGCCTAGGCTACCTAGTGAGCTCCAGGCCAGCCTCTCAAGCTACAAGGTGAACCCTGTCTCAAAAAAAAAAAAAAACCAACCAAAAAACCGCAACAAGAAAAGACAAAGACAAAAAAAATATGATAGAACTAGGTCCTAGCAGGAGCACATACCAAAGGCAGTGAACTGATTTTAAGAAAGGAATGAGAAGCTCTCCACCTGGGTGTGATGATGGGATGTAATATCCAGGTGTTCTCCATCACTTGAGAAGCTGTACAAATGTGTGCATGGTGTGTGTGTGCATGAGTGCACTGGTGTGCATACATCTATGTATGTGAGTGTGTGCAGAAGCATGTTTGCATGTGTGTGTGCAGGTTTGGATGGGTTTTCACAATTATTGTGCTTATGTGTATACAAGTAAGTGTGTTTGCACGTGTGTACCATTTGTGTGTATATGCATGTGTTGGTGTGTGTGTGCATGCAAGAAAGAGTCTGTATGTGTCTACATTCATACTTGATGCAAATTCTAATTTTGGATGGAAAGTTGAGTACTTCAGGGGCAGCTGGAGAAGGTTGTCCAGTATCTGGAAGATTTAGCTCAGGCTTGGCCATTACTACTTGCTGTCTGTGCCTGTATGTCTAGAGGGGCAGCTGCCACCCTACACTCAGCTCCCGGGGGCCTCTTTAGCACCTTGCCTCCTGCTGGTGACCCTCAAGCTCCAGACGTGGGAAGCATTTGTTGCTGGCTGGAGACTCTGTGGCTGGAGGTGTGCTAGGGGCAGGCTGGGGCCACTAGGCGTCCCCTCACCCGGACACAGCCTCTGCCCAAGGGACCATGTTCCTAGGTACCTGGGTGAGCCCAGTCTGTGTGGTAAAGCATGAGGTTGCTATCCAAGAGAGCGTGTGGGAGCAATCTTTGCAGTGAGGGTGGAAGTGGGGATTTCATGATGACAAAGAGCTTTGTCTACCCAGCAGCCACAATGACCTCCCCCGTGGGAAATCCAGCTGTCAGTGACGCATGAGTCAGAGTCCTAGCTGAGCATGCAAGCTAGGGATAGTCTAGCAACAAGCAACCTTATATTCTGAACCAAGTTCAAAGTTATAATTCTTTGATTTCAGTTTTGTTTGAAAAAAAAATGTAATTGGGTTTAAAAAAGCTTTATATGTGACTAAAATTCCTGTGTGCCTAAGCTAAAAATACCCAGGATGCATGCCCAGGGCTTCAGGGTCGATGAAAGAACATTCCAAAGGTTAGAAGTAGGGTCTCCCTTGTCCACAATGATTAACAAAGGTTGGACAGGAAGAAACAAAGACGAGCCAGTGGCTTGAGACTACACTTGCTGAGGGGCGAATGTTAACAAAGGTTCAGGGGCATCCCGAGACACAGGCATGAATTTGAAGAAGGCACATCTACATCTGGCCAATCAGATCATAGATGAGGTCAATCTGGGCCCCCTTCTAAGGGCTAATTGCCTCTGATGTAGAACTGAACATGTTGGCTTAAACTGGTTCCTGAGCACCAGTGGCGTCTGTGACTCTGGCTGCTCCCGGAGGTGGGAGAAGGAGCTCCCAGGAGGAGACCCAGACTCTGCCAGACTGGCTCTGTGGGGCGGTGGTTTCTGATTTTGTCTACTTCATTTCCTTCAGGAATCTTTGAAAAGGACATTTTAATAGGAGCAATTTTCCTTTGGAATTGGAGCTCACATTCGGTATAGTTCTCACCAGAAATCCAGTTTAATTCACACAGTTTTGTTCTGTCTTGCTCATTATTTGGCCCGTGGCCTCAGTGTGGACTTCTCATACATCCCCGTGAGCTCATGCAGAGCCGTCGCAGGTCCACCCACCAGTGCCCAGGGCCATGGTTTTGTTTCCCTCAAGTCCTGTCACCTCTACCGCTGCCTCCCTCCCTCCAAACCACCAACTGTGTGTCTACGCTGGGGGACCAGGGGTCAGGGAAATCAGTGCTCCAGATTTGGAATAAAATTCATGTATACATTGCATTTTAATACATTTTCAAGTTTACATATTGTACATGTTTATACACAAAAACCAATTGTCACTCTGGATTATAATTGAGCAAAGAGCTCAGGAAGCCAAAGAGGATCCAGGGTCTAAGGTTTATCTGGCCTAATTCATCTTGTCCCTGGTCAAGAATGTTACAATAATGGCCAATAATAATAATTTTGTCTTAGCTGACAAGTAATTGAGAAAAATTTTGAGGTAATTGGAACCCCTTTCCTCCTCCATCTTTATGAATAAGTAAAGGGCATTGTTTTGCACAGTGAACAGAGATACCCCATTTTGTCACTTAGGTAAAAGGGTGCTATAGGAAGCCATCGAAGCTCTTAGAGGGGTAACTGAAGAATGGCACATTGAAAAGGCTCAGGCATGAATCACTCCAACAGCAACTGTTGCACACCCTAAAGGGGATTGGTCCTCCCTCCTTCACCTGGGAAAAACCACCCAACAGCCCTTTCTGAATCAGCCAACAAAGTGATAAATGCAGGTTCACAATTAAAATGTTAATAGAAAAAATCAGTATGGTCCACGGTTTCCTCAGTTTAGCAAGACATAGCCATCAAGTGCAAACAGGTCATTTAAATAGTAGTCGCTTTACGGAAGACAGTTAATGGGAGTCCTTGGTTTTAAAGATCCGTGAATAGGAATAGACCATTTTGGGAAATTTGTCAAGTCTGATTTCCCAGCCAGGTTCAAGCAAAACAGAACTAATTTGCAAAGACAAGTTTAGAAACGTGCGCGTGTCTCTGAGCTCGCCAATGGTAGGCAAAGACCATCTGGCCTCTGGATGATGTTGTCCACCTCCAGGAAGAGGCAGGGTAGAGGGTGCTGGTGAGTCCCATGTTTTCCAGGAACACACGAGAGAGAAACGCTCCCCTCCGAAGATGATCATGGTAAGGAACATCACACCATCTCCCAAGATGAGATGAGATCAGAAAGTGCGGAAACCGCAGAGTTAGCAGGTCTGCTTGGGATTTCAGACCAATGACATAAACTTCTGAGTACAATGCTAAAGAAGGCACGCAATGAAAATGGAACAGCAAGAAGAATTCTGCGGCCATGGGACTCTTGAGACGCTAAGCAGTAGAGGCAATGCTAGACGCGAGCAGCACAAGGGCTATTTTCTTATGTGCAGCTGGCCTGTTGAAACTGGAGACACGCCAAGCTTTTGCAAAATATTCCTCATCAAGAAATTCAAAGGAATGCTGCCATATTCAGATGTGTTGGACACATTCCAAGTGCAGTTAGTCACGTTTTGACCAGGAGGGAAATGTGGATTGAAGCCATGATTAAAAGATGCCTGAGCAAAGTGTGAGGAATTGGTCTAGCTGCTAAAGCTGTCCGTTCTGAGAGTCTAAAGATACGTGTCCATCAGGCACCGCTTTGGATGATGCTGCTACACACTGAAGAGCAAGCCCTCCAGCTGTTTACAATCCAGAAAGAGAAAGCCCAGAGGCTGGTGATGGAGGGGCTAGTTCAGGAAGTCACTGAACATGAACAGGTGGTCTATGGCACTAGGGCCTTGGACAGGGATCCTGCAAAAGATGACATGGTATGAAACAAAATCCTGACCCCAAGGTATCCTTGGGCTACAGTGATGGGACCTGGACGGGTGTGGGTGGAGGGTTGGGAGAGGGATCAACATGGACTTGAAAACATCTTTTTCCTTGGTGAATACGAAGGCCTTTCCTAAACAAGATGAAACTCTAGCAATGTGACATCATGATAGGATACGTCAGACAAAGGGAAAATTATCAGGGGGACTCCTGGTTCTCAGGGTGCTGTGGAATTGTCAGATCTTGTCCTCAGTCCTTACAAATATTCAAGCATCTCTGCTCTAACTAGAATGATGGTGGCATTAGTATATGTCTTACAACCTGTACTAAACTACTTCCCAAGCTTGTGTAGGGCTTGGATATGCTGGCGAGACAGACAGAGGAAGAACACTTGGCCTGGGGTGTGGGGGGTGGTATTTTCATCATTTTGCTAGAATTGTACCTAAAAGTCACAGGCACAGAGGAGAGGAGGCAAAACTACTAGAAAGGTGTGTGTGTGTGTGTGTGTGTGTGTGTGTGTGTGTGTGTACAGTTGGATGCCGTCGCCACATGGGTTCTCAAAGTCCTGGGCTGTCTCATTAACTAAGACCACCATGTGTATAAGGAGTTAGTTATTATCCTAAGTACTGTTAGGTATCCAAATTTTAATACTTAGACTAATTTCTGACTTAAAAACTTAGATTTGATCTTTTAAATTGCAATAATTTTCTAAGAGTTTGGGTCACTCTAAACTATGTGTTGGAGGGTGTACATACAAGAAACTCCCTGTGCCTCAGAAAGTTCCAGACAGAAAAGAGGTCATAGGAGCAGCCTAGAGATGCATGGGAGGGGAGAAGGCGACTAGACCGTCCCCAGGCTGCAGGCCTTGGTCCTTTGAACTAAAATAGGGCACTGATGTCATAGGTGAGTCTTTCAAAAATATTTCTGTTCTTTTCAAGTGACGCATTATTTCTCACTGTAAACTGACAAGTGCATAAATATTTTAAAAGAGAATGACTGTCATAATCACTTACTTGAGTTCTTGTGAGCTGGTGGCCAACATACTTCGAATGCTTTTATCAGCCAGTGGGCAGCCAGACAGACTGTAAGACAGGCCGGGAGAGGCAGGTGAGTGACCCTCGAGGTGACAGAGCCACCCGGACAAACACGACATACAACTGAATTTAAATTAAAAGAGGTCAATGCAGAAAAGCGATGGTGACAGTGCTGTATACTGAATTTTTTTTTCTTACAATGAACTCTAAATATGTTCAAATGTAAATTCAGGAAAACGACTCTGTTAATGAACTTTTTTAAAAAAAGATAAGATATTTGTGCTCTTTGGTTTAGATATCTGAGAAGAATTGTGCAAATTTAGGGAGCTCAAGGTTAAAAGACATTATACAACACCTCGGTCTGCATGCTTTGGAAGGCCAACACAGAGCACTTAGAAGGTTGACACAGAATTCAACATTTTTACTTTGACAGCATTGTTGAGGTAAGCTGAAAACAATAAATTGAAAAGACAGAATCCACCATGGAAAAAAAAAAATAAAGTCACACCTTCTGTGTGAGGCGTAATTACCAGTCACATGACCACTCCCATCACACCCTGGAGTTGGACATCTGCCACCAAACAAAAACAAAAACAAAAAAACAGCCAAAATAGTAAGTATGCTTAAAAAAAACTTGAAAAAAATTTCATTGTTTCCAGTTTAGCTGCAATGTCTGCAAGGGGACTAGGAGCCCAGGCGAAGCTGAGAGCGCACGCGTTGGATGGAAAGGCGCCTCCGAGACTGAGCACCACTGCGAACAAGCAGGTGGCCCGGCCTCGCCCTCCTCAAGGCAGCCACAGATGGGTGTGTGCACGAAGGTGCATGCTCCACCGGCAAGGCGCGGCACAGTGATCGGTCTCAAGGGAAGCCAAGGAGAGGGAGGGTGGAGGAGACCCGTGTTCTGCCTCCTGTTATGCTTACGTTATTAAGTCCTTTTTGCTGTCCTTGCACTGGGGGTACTTGGGTTTGGGGCTTGGGATGGTCACCTCCCCAGGGTACCTTCTTTCTTCCAGAGCCTCCTGGAAGGGGTCCAAGTCTTCCGGCTGCAGACAAAGCACAGTTTCAGGGCCACACTGGGCCAAGCACACACCGGGCGGCCTTCTCTGCCACCTCCTCTTACATCATGCTCTGAGAGCCCCATTGCCTTCTGTCCTGACGAGGCCTCTGCTGGGAACCAGGCCTGGCTTGTCCACCAGTAGCTCTGCAGGGCTGATGGCCAGTGGCAGTGGGACTGAAGGTGACAGTCAGAGACCTCCGCTGTGGCCTGAGTTTAGCATTGCTCTGAACAGACCTAGCACCAACCCACATCTATTGTAGAATAGAGATCTTACCCATTGCTGGTAAATATTTTACATATAGGTACTTTAAGTCTCAAATCCAGGGAAGAACAGTCACATTCATGTTGTAATTTAAAATTACTCTCAGGCTGTGCCTTTGTTACACAATAGAATACCTACTTGTAGTAACCTGGAAATTCCTGTGGGCGGCAGTGAGGAGCTCATGTGCGCGCTACGTCTCCTACATGGTAAAGTTTTGACTTCTAAATCTGTCATAAAAACACTTCTGTCTCTGGACTTTAATTAAAATAAATTTGGGGATTCAATTACCGTGCTCTCTTTTGGCAGTAATGATTTTAACACTGCAGGAGAGAAAAATACTTAGAAATTCAGCTGGCCACTAGGATTTTATTTATTTTTAGTACAACACCTAGCTACTTAAATCAATTTGAAGAACAAGGATAACAGGCTCCTAGGTGCTCAGCTGCCTTCCCCTCCAGTTTCTCCGCAGAGCTAACTGTCCCTTCTCCACTTCCGGGTCCCATGGATGCTGCTGCTTGGACAGCGGTCTCCTTACTCTGACAATTTTCTGTTTTATAGTGAACAAAAAAAGATGTCATAATTTTTGGATCTGAAGCAGTCACTCCATTAAAACAAAACAAAGAAAAAAGTTCTCTACTTCTTATTTTTAGTCCAAGGAGAAGAATATAATACTTTAAGAACCTGAATTTGAAAACTCGAATGTTAACACTGTGTCTTGCTTTTCCGAATCGTTTATTTCTTGGGGAAGAGGGTTGTCTTTAATTTCAAAGAGCACACTGGTCGCCATCTAAGTACTTACTACTTTCATTATAATTTGCTGCCAGCAAAGAGAACACTATTTTCTTTGGAAAAGAACTGATACGCTGTTTGTGCATTTTCCTAGTGAAATAATTCGTAACAAAACACAGGTGTTGGAAAATAAAATTTAAGAGTTAATAGTTTGTACCACTCCATGTCAATTGCACATTTCTTCTCATCCAACCGAAAGCATTTTTTCCCCTTAAGTTCTCAGTAGCTGAAGGCCATACTTAAAGAGGAAATGCACAAGAATGATCAAAATGTATGATGAAAGTTTAAATTCAAAAGATTATTGCCCAGATATGTAGCTCAGAGACGTAAGTGCCTGCCTGGCAAGTCCAAGGTTCTGAGTTTGATACCTGGTACCCAAAACAAACAAAACAAAACTCTGCTGCCGGCAAGATAGCTTAGGGCAGACTAAAGCATCTGCTTAGGCAAGCTTAGGCAAGCACAGGGACTGTGGTTTGATCTCCAGCACCACATGTGGTGCCAGCCCCACCCCCCCAGTGGGCTGAGCCCGCCAGAGTCTGGGCATAGTGGCCCATGTCTGTAATCCTAGTGCTGGGGAGGCTGAAAACAGGAGGATCCCCACGAGTCTCAGCTGCATAGTGAGACCCTCTAACAACCAAATAGATTAACAACAACAACAAAACAACGAACAAAAAACAAAAAAAAATCAAAATAACATACAAAGATTGTTATAGTAAAGGAAACATTATTAATTCATTTTAAAAACTTTCCCCTCACTTTGAACATACTCTTCTCATTGTCCTTGCCACTTTCTGCAGCAGCTCTGGCATCCTCTTTCCTGAGGGTCTTTAGCACGCGGGATCACAAATACAGTGAATACTGCTACTCAATGCCATTCAGAAAGGCAGCTCATAAAAACATGACGCTGTGTCTTCATCCACCAATCCCTGGACCTGGCACCGTGCAACTCCTGGCTCTTCCTCACAGTCACAATGACCAGGAAAAGGAGACAATTTGAATCCATTCAGGGCATCAAGGCAGCCAGGACAGTGCAGTTCAAGACACTCAGGAAAGAGGTCTCCAGAGAAGCTACAGAAGGTGGCAAGGGGTGTGGTTTTCAGCAATGTGCCTTTTACTGTAATATGTTTTTTTGGGGGGAGTGCTAGGAATCAAACTCAGGACCTGGCTCTTGCTAGGCAGGTGCTTTGCCACTGAGATGTATCCCCGGCTCCTGCAGTACATTTTTTAAAAATGTATTTAGTACAGGTTCTACAGGGTCTCACTATGCAGGTCGAACTCGTAGTAATTCTCCTGTTTTCAGCCTCCCAAGCGCTGGAATTACAGGTGCATGCCACCACGCCCAGTCTCAATGTTGTCTCAGTGTGCCCTGGGTTCGGGCCCGGCAAGGCATGCCGGGATTGAACCCCAGCTGCTCCTGCAATACATTTTTAAGTGTAAAATTCACTGCTATTTTTAATCACATGTTATATTTTCTCCTGAGGGGTATGCAAATTTTTAAAAATTTTACTTTTCTTTCGGAGACAGGATCTCACTAGGTTGTCTAGGCTGGTCTTAAACTTGAGGCCCTCTTGCCTCAGCCTCTCTGGTTGCTGGGATGACAGGCGCGTGTTGTCACCTCCAGCAAGCTGCGTTTTCAGGCTCCCCCTGATCGCATCATGGGGAGTGCAGGCAGGTGTTAGGGAAAGACATACCGTGATCTCCTTGGGGTCATCCTCATCCACCCGCCGGGGCTTCATCTTGGTATAGTCCACGGGCAGGTCCCAGCAGTCCCCCTCGCTCAGCTGGAAGCACCTGGTGCTCATCACTGCCTGTTGCTGGGGGGACATGGGCTCCAGGGGTGTCAAGACTGGGCAGCAGCTGTCCCGTGGCCTCTGCTTGTTCATGCTGAGGTCCAGGGTGCCGTTCTCATCGACTTCCATGTCGGGGTTCTGTGGGCAGAAGGGTGGGTCATGGGCTTGGTTTGTTCTGGATTGGATGCCCTGCGAGTCACTCAGGTGATGCCCACTTGGTCAGCCAGGATCCCTCCCTCTGTGTCTCTGCCATGAGCCCCAGAGGGACCTGCGCTGTGCCTGGGCATGTGCTGCCCTAGGCTTCCCGGCTGAAGGAGCACCTCGCTGTGCCCATCCACTTCTCTATCATCTACCTTCTCTTCCTTTCTCTTGCCTTTGCCCCCTCACTACAGCTATGGTTTTAGAAATGAGCTTGGCCAGAAAAAATTCAAAGAAATGATTTTTTTGTTCTTGAAGGATGGGGAGTTTTTTAAAAAAAATATTTTATTTTTTTATTTCGAGACTGCGATCTCACTAAGGCACTTCTTATCTTTCCTCCCTGCCTGGGAAACATTTTTCCACACAAACCCTGACCGCCAAGAACACTGCATGTGCCTGATGGCTTCAGAACTAGGGATCCAAATATCCAAAGAAAAGAAAGCATTTGCAAAACCACGAGGAACACTGACCTTTCTGCATTCGCACAAACAACACAGACAGATTTGTAACACTGTCAGAGCTGTGAGCTCGGGGTGCAGGACTGCGGCTCCCGGGAGTCAGGGGAGGCGCTTTGCTTATCTGAGAGCCTTGGACTGGTGCAGCCCCTCTGTGGCTCAGCTTGGGAAGCCTGGCTCCCACCGGCCACCTAGTGGCCCTGGCCAAGCAGGCGTCCTGATTTTCCGCTCCTCTCAGTCTGAGCCACTTCCTCTCTTCTGCTCTAGCACAGACAAGGTGCTGACAGATAAGAAAAATAAGCCACAGAAAAGCCCCACGCCCCATCTCTGCGGCCACACTGGACGAAGGTGTGCAGCCTGTGCCCACAAGGCCATCGGGAGGCGCCATCAGATCAGTCCTGCTTCATTGTCCCGTCCCCAGAGCCATCAATGGGGAGTGTGGTGAGGGCACATTCCTTTGTGTATGGGAGCTTGGTGCTGCCAAGTTTTCTTCCTGCTGCCCCTTCTAGGGGTGTGCGTCTTTCATATTCTCTGTGTGGTCACTGGAGACGCCATGAAGGCACATGCTGTCCTTTGTCTGGGGTCAGGACTCCTAACCCCAGCGAGGGAAAGGACTGACAGCTTCTTGTGATTTAGAACATACCGTCCTTTGGGAGGCTATGGGAGCCCTCGGTGTTCATATTTCAAGTGCATTAACATGAGGATTCTTGCCTTTGCTGGGCACAGGAGGAGCCCTGTACCTACTGGGCTTGCACGGTGAGCCCAGCACCTGCCACATGCATTAGGAGCCACACACCAAGCAGGTATACGAAATGCTGCACCTGCAGACAGGGCCCACCTCCCTCTCTGTGCACAGGTGACCTGCCAGGTGGCCCTGACCCGGGGGGGGGGGATTGCGTACCCGCGTGGAGCACAGGTCCTGTGGCTTGGTAGACAGGTTTTGTGGCATCTCACGGCAGCGCGTGGACAGGTTGAGGATGGCCGTGGCTGCCATGTGTGCTGCTTCCATGTCGTGCGTGTAGTCGAAGCTGCTTTTGCTGCAGGTGCTGCTGCTGCTGCTGCCACCACCGCAGCTCAGGTTGCTGCTGCTGCTGGGTGCGTAGCTGCTGCTGCTTGGGCTGGGGCTGGGGCTGGCGTTCTTGCAGTACCGCTTGGCTGTGGAGACACGCGGCAGGGGCTCAGGCCCACGCCTGCCGCACTTGGCCACACACACACGGGGCTGGTTCACCACAAAGAGCCCCGGCTCCTTCCCTGTTCCGGCCTTCTGCTGTGTTAGAGTGCACTGAGGGTTGGGAACCCTGGAGGGGAGGTGTCCTCTCCTTTCCCTAGCTATGCCTGCCTCCGACTTGGCTATGGCCAGGAAGACACTAGCCCGTGCAGGGACAAGGACCTCAGCAGATCACTTACGGGTCAGGTCACTGTCATCAAGGGGCTGAGCTAGCAACCGGGGTACGGTGTACTGCTGCAGGTGACCTGGGCACTCAGGGGGCCTGGGGACTGTCTGCTGGAGCTTCGGGCAGTGCAATTCCGGCTGGCTGTGCAGCTCAGACACGTGACCTGGACGTCCCTTGTTCTGTAGTCCTTACCAAGGCCAAGGGGTGAGGGAGGGCACTGCACACACCCATGGATGCAGACCAGCAGAGGGCACAAGGGAGAGCTCCACGCAGGCCAGGACACGCTTGTGGGGCACCCCCTCTTAGCCTGCTAGCCCCCCTCCCACCGGCAGAGCAGTGCCCCTTTCCAGCAGCCACCTCACTAACTGCACTCAGGACAGGGCTATTTTTAGAGCTGTTTCAAAATCTTTAGCACCTGGATAAGAACTCTTTTAGATGGCGTCATCCCCGCTTAACATCACATGATTTTCATCTGCCTGCTAGTCCAGGGAGGAGCCAGGTGTGAGGAATGACCTAAAGGTAATTCTTCGGGAGGTTGCAAAACCCCCCAGTCAGTGTCTCTCCAGGTGTCCTGCCCCTCCTCGGTGGGATTTTTCTCCTCCCCTGAGAGTTGTGGAGTTTGGCCCTGGGCAGGGCAAAGAGGGTGCTGGGTGTGCTTAGCGTGCCCCAGCTGCACAGTAAAGTATTTGCCGTCACCCTGCTAGAAAGGCAGTTATGGGGGCAAGGAAGCTGGACCCTGTACCCTGGGTGTCATCCACACGGTGACTGCAGCCCCGCACCCGGAGCCCAACCTTATCACTTTCCTCTGGAGAAGAGGAAGAGAACAAAACCCAGTGAGTGACACACCATCTAGAATAGCAAGGGTAAGAGACTGTCCCGGGGCAATGGGCTCTGATAGGCAGGAACAAGAAGCAGAACAAGGTGGTCAGTGCTGACGACCCGAATTGGACTGATGCTGTCCTCTGGGGACAGTGACAACCAGACTCCAGGACAACAGTGGCCACCCTGTTCTCAGCTCAGCCTCTGGCCAAAGACAGAAGGAAACTGCGCATGCCAGATAAATGGTTTCCACTGGCATTTCCATGTGTGGGACGGATGGCCAAGCGTACTACACACATGTGTGAGCGCACACACCCAGCTGTAGAGAGCAACAGGCCACCTGTAGCCAGAGCCACTTCTACTGGGCCGCGGGGTCTATCTCAGCCCAGCTGTAGGGAGCCATTCGCTGTGGAGCAGGGGGTAGCTGAGGCGGGCATGTCCTCCTCTGGTCTTCTCTGCATGCCCTTATTTAAAGGGCAGAGCTGTGTGGCACAGGGTGGGCAGGGCTGGCAGGAATAAGTACAGCTGTGCCAGGCCTAGGATTAACACAGCCTGTGGGCAAGACAGAGGATTGTGAGTAACCCAGCAGCGGGTGCGTGGCTTGTCTGTGTCACTGCTTAAGTGCTGGGTGACACTCTGGACTAAAGTTCAGGATTCTCTATCACTTAAAATTTTGCTAAGTAGGGCCGGTCAAATGGCTCAACAGATTAAAGTGCCTACATGCAGGCACAGGGGCTGGGGGTTCGATACCCTGGGCTTGCTGTGCTGGCCTCGCCCCGGCCGTACTGGCTCTGCTCCTGGGGCACCCTGAGATGGCGTTGAGACTGGGTGTGGTGGCGCACACCTGGAACCCCAGCTCTTGGGAGGCTGTAAACAGGCAGATCACTAGAGTCCAATCTAGTAGTGAGACCCTGAACACCCTGTAGACCCTTCCCTAAAATAAAAAAAAAATGTTCAACAGAGGAGTGTGGATGCTGGAGAAATGAAATAATTTACACCAGGGCTTCTGTGTGTGTGTGTGTTTTTTTTTTAGTGGAACCGGGGATTGAACTCAGGCCCTTGTGCTTGCCAAGCAAGCGCTTATTCTTCTGAACCATTTCCCTGGCCCCTGTGTTTGTTTTTAAACTAGTTTGTTTTTAAGACTAGACAGAGGTTCAGGAAAAATAAAGAGAGAAATCATTCACGTAAATAAGACAAGTAGTGTTTTGTTTTGAAATGAGTGAATATTGATGTGTGAAAAAACAGAAGCCACACCTCGGGTTTGTGGACAAATCAGTGGGTGGTGGCCCGAGGAAGCCTGTATGGCAAGGCCTGGGCCCCGAACTAGGATGCAGATTGCCTCGTGGGACATTTTACTAAAAGAGTTTCTAAATGATTTCTTTCTCTCGACTTTCTTGGACCACTCTACGTTATCATGTGGCTATAAAGTGTAACCATAGCAGCACCTCAAGGCCCTCAAAGTCTTCCTCACAGATGCTGGGCCTGGGTTGCTCTGGTGGACAGTACAGGACAGTACTGACTGAAGGGTCAGTAATCCCTCTGTGACAGTACGGCCCTCCACCTTGGTTCTTTTTCAAAATGCAAATGATCATCATTTTTGTTTTATTTGAAATGAAAACAGCAGTGTCTATGCTTGAAACTGTCCAGGGAAGGAATGAGCCTAATACTACTGCCTGTCGCTACATGTCTGCAAAGCCAGTAATGTCGGTATCATGTGGGCTGCATTTAGCACTGCTCTGGGTTCCGGTGCTGACCCAGCAGAGCAGCGGACATCAGGCTGGAATGTCCCCTGCCACCTCCTCCCCCAGAATGGACCCTACCCTATTTTCCCAGCTGAGAACAACTGAACAGTGACAGCTTCCCTTAGGCCAAATCACTTCATTATCAGAGGACAGATCAGCAACAACTTGGGTGCTGGTAGGAAGCCGGGATCAGGAGAAAAGTGACCAGTTCCCCTTCAGAGGCCGTAGGTGTGTGCCAGCATAAGCAGCCACTCCAAGGCCACCTACTCTAACACTATGTCCCTGCCTGCAGGAGGAAAGACACCATGGGTCCCTAGAGTTACATGTGGCCACATGATCCAATTAGAAATTGAAAACCAGTGCTAACATGAGGCTTCCAGCCACAACCTTGCCCACTCTGCTGGTGAAACTGTCCCAACAATGTCTGCTTCTGGTGCCGACTCGTCTCTGTCTAGAGGTCCCCCGAAAGCATCATGTGTGCAGAGGCAGGGCTTTGGAAGGTGACTGAATCATGGGGCTTAGAGCTGACTTGCTTTTAGGAAGTGGGTCCAGGTGGGAAGAGGCAGCCCCTGGGGGTGTGGCCTGGGCAGGCTCATCTCCTCCCCAGCTCCTCCCTCCTCTCTGCTTCCCTTGTACCATGAGCTGAGCAGAATTCTCCACTAGTTCTCTTAGCCGTGCCATCCTGCTGTGCAGCCAGCTGCCTTTGGACTGAGACTGGAGCAAAATCAACCTCTCCTCCCCTAAGTTGTGGGTATCAGGTATTTTGTCCAAGCACTGGGGGAGGTGGTTAACAGAGGTACCCTGTGGGTTGAGCCTGCTAATAGGCAGTGTGCTGATGGGGCCTTGGTTCTGTCCCTTGGTCAGGACCCTTGTGGCGTAGCTACTCCCTGCCTGGTCTGCCCTCCAGGGTGGAGTTGGGGATTCTAAGGACAGCATTTCTGGTCTGTCAGAAACTCACAATGTGGCAGGAAGACCAGACATTCTCCAGCGAGATGCCCAGGGATGGACACAGGCTACTTGTGGGCTGCAGCGAGTGGCCAGTGTCCCAGTTTGTCTGGTCTCCCCCTTTAACTTTCTGATGTGTAGCAGCCCTGAGATATGCTCTACCCACTGCCACCTTACCTGGGATCCCCCCCCCACTTCTAAGACTTAGGCTCCAATCATACAATAAGTTTCAATAATTCAGGCCACAGAGAACCACCCTAAAACAGGTATATAGAAGGAACATCTAAAGAAGGAATACATGAAATCACTGTACGAGTCCCACGGATTGAAAATTATATCAACAGAATCTTCATTTCTTTCAGATTCCTCTCTTGCAGTTGAAGGAACAAAGCTAGGGCAAAGACTGAGACTGGCAAGTAAGTATTACCAACTAGCAAAATAAAAGAGAAATAATAATTTTTATGATACCCTACAGCTGTTCCTTTTTTTCTGCTCTGTGCTTTGGAATGTCCAAGAATTGATACACAAGGATAATCAATACACGACACACCAAAGAAATACTGAATTTCTTTCACTATACAAAATGAATTGCTATTAGATATGAACTAACAGCTCAGGGAGTCCTGACATTCCTGCAGAATCCTGAAAGGCTTCTGAATTCCCCAAGCATTCAGTTTAGATCTTTTTTTTTTCATGAGTGTACATGTGATTTTAATGAAATAGATTTTCAGAGAGGAGCTCCCAAAAATCTTTAGAACCTAATCTCTTTTCCTTTGCATCAAGATTCAACTTTTGAATCAGAATTTTTCAGACCCCGAGTCTAGCAGGTAAAATTGGGTGGCTAAGCCTACATCTATATCCTAGAAGCTGAGGCAGCCACCTCATGAGGTAAATACAGTCTCTGACTCAAGGATAAACTACTTACCAAGTTAGCTGAGGGGCGAGATGTCACTATTTACACCTAGCGGTGGACTAAGATGGTGTGAAGGGAAAATCAGCTACCTGTCCCAGGCAGCAGGGGAAGGTCACTTGTTCTTTCTGTTTGGGGACAGTAGCAAGTGACATGGTGGCATCAGGGCCAGGTGGCTGAAAACCTAGGTGAGCCTTTCTTCCTTGTTTTTCCAGATAGGGAAGGTGCCTACATCCTGGCTTGTGGAGAAGCCAGCCAGGCAGGGAAGTGGGGCCAGACTGCAAAGCAGTGCCATCAGAAGTGTCTTAAAGGGGCCATAACATGAGGACCCCCCAGAAGACCCTGCTCCATTTGTTTGGGTGCAGCCTGGGTATTCAGGTGTGGGAAAAACCATCTCCTAGGTGATCCAAAATGTACCCCAGAGGGATAGCGGTGCAGGCTGCAGATTTATCATGAGGCCAGAACTGCTTTCCCTGCACTTATGAAGAGGAAGCTATCATCTTCCCCACTCTGCCGCACACGGACAGCTGGTACTTTTCTCTATGTCGCAAATACAGCCAGAGCAGATGGATCACTTGGGAATCATTGCAGAGCATGGTCCCCTCCTCCCCACCCACCCACCCATGTGGCTCTGGGGTCACCCTGTGCCTGTGGCCACGCATGTGGGGCTGGTGTGCAGGACATGGTTTGACACAACAACAACATCAACGAAACTGTGTCTCATGTATAAGAGTATGCACCTCCTACCGTCATCATATCCTTTGGGGGACATGTCCCTGGTTTGCACCTTGGGAGCTATGGCTCTCTTGCCATAAGTGTGGTTGTCGAAGCTGCTGTACTCAAATGAAGTCTTGGAGTATTTCTCAAGCTCTTTGGCCAGGTTGGAGCGCGGCGTGGTGGTGGGGACGTTGTTTCTGTAGCCATACTGGGGAATCTCCAGCTGCTTCACAAAGCACATTGGCCTGGAATGGACAGGACAACAAACGACAGCTTGCTCTCTCCTCGCTGCACACCCAACGGGATGCCTGGCCACACCAGCACATGGGTCTCCTACCTGCATCAAGAAATCAGGATCTTTCCCTGAAACACCTTCCTTTTCCTCAGAAAATCCCAAGTGTGCTTGGGTCCTACAGCCCCAAACAACCATCCGAGTTGAAAAGACTGAGAGACAGAATACTCCATGTGTCCTCTGTCTTTCCCTTTCTTGTATAAGGGTAACAGTGGGTCTGATGGCAACAGGAGAGCTAAGGCTGAAGAGAATCTGACAACCACACATCCTCTTTTCTATGGTTTCAAAGGCTCACAGGATCACACACGAATGATGTGAGCTAAACAGAATGTACCTTGGCTGGGTGGGCCAGGCACAGCTATCGTCCTGGCACTCTAGGAGGCTGAGGTAGGAGGATCGAAAGCTCAAGCCCAGCTTGGGCAACTTAGCAACTTAGTGAGATTCTGTCTCAAAATTAAAAAAAAAAATTAAAAAAAGGAGTTAAAGAATGTAGCTTAGTGCAGAGGCCCAGGGTTCAATCACGCGTACTGAAAACAACAATTGGGCGATAGAGAAATAGTCTTGGGGGCAACGAGAGAGATAAAAATATACCACAAGTTACCTAGTGGGGCATCGAGATGGGATGGTACTAAAGCATCTTGTCACATATTTCAATTTCCTCTTAATGTTTTTATCTACTTGTTCTTTAGTTTACACTTTGAGATACAATGTTAAAACACAGGAGCATTTGATTATTCCTTCCCAGCATTCTATAAGCAGCGTCCTTAGAGTTTTCATTCAAAGTTGTTGCAGGTGTAGAAGTTGTGCAGCAGGCTTCCTCTTCCTCTACCACCTTCTGTTTGGTAGCATGGATATAGATGGATATTTAAACACAGAGTTCTGTGGGCCACTCTCATTTTTAACTTTTGCAAGGTAAAAATGCACATAAAAATACTTGTGGTTTCACACAAACATCATTTCTTAAATTTTTTAAAAAATAAACATAATTTCAAAAAATAAGCATAATTTCTTAAAAACACTGAAACTAATTCAAGAAATACTCCTGAACTTTAAGGACAGTCTCATAACTCTTTCTGAAATATGTAAAATGCATTAAAAATAAAGACCTAAGAAAGGCTGAAAAAACAAAATGTGTGAATCCAGGCACAGAGGTGAGTTCATGATCAATTTGTGAGAGACAATCATTTTCCGAGTAAGATTTTGTTTCTTTTCTTTATCTTTTTTGCATTATATTTAAACACTGAGGATTGAACCCAGGACCTTCTCACTGAGCTACATCACCAACTCTTTTTTTTTTTTTTTTTTGGAATAGGCTTTTGCTAGGTCACTAAGTTGCCCAGGCTGGGCTCCCACCCACCATCCTCCTGCCTCAGCCTCCCAGAGTGCTGGGACGACAGGCCTGCGCTATCATCCAGTTAGATCCTATTTCTTGCTCAGCGGCATCAGCTCTGGCATACTGCTGCACCTCAAGAACAAGGTTAGGACTGCAGCAGAGTGGGCCTCCTGTAGGTGCTATGTGTATGGGGGAGCAGGAGGTTACGGCCTGACCTGCTGGTGTGCCCCAGGAGGGTGGCCCTACAGGATCCATTTTTCTCCTCCCCAAAGGAAATTTTCCCTGAGGTCACTGTGAGTCTGGGTAAATACATTTTCTCTGCGCATCTCTGAACACCCATACGTCCTATACCCGCCCTGGGGATAAAAACTTTAAAATGATTGTTTTGCTTTGTATGATTATCAAAGTAAGACATGCTTCACTGAAAAACTAGAAGAAGATATAAAAACTATTAAAAATCACCTCTAATTCTTTGTAAGATTAAAAGCGGCCAAGGTTTTGGTGTATCTTTTCTGGTTAATTTAATGCATTTATTATTTATGTAAATAGAATTGAAAGTTTTTACATATTTCACAATTTACACACATAACATTTAATTTTACTTTTTTGTTGCTTGGGGTTTAATAACAGTGTGATATTAAAATCTATGAATATTATACTACTTAAATATTCTCTAACTTTCCTAATTTTTTTAATTCTGTAAATTACGACTTTATATGCATTCATGCATGCAATCTAATCCTCCTTTGGTTATTTTACAAGTTTATGCTATTTTTTTGAGTACCTGCAAAAAAGCTGAATTTTGGCTAATTATAATTGAAATTTATTTATTTGTTTATTTATTTATTTGGGGGGCTGGGTAAAAGTCTTGCTGTGTAATACAGGCTGGCCGTGTACTCACTATGTAGCTCAGGCTGGTCTCAGACTTGCAGTGATCCTCCTGCCTCAGGCTCCTGAGTGCTGGGATGATGGGTACGCCACTACACAAGGCTGATAACTGAAACTTTCATGCAGGAGAGTAAGTCACCTGTTGTATGTTTAATAGCACAACTGTGCCACCTTTTTTGGACTTTAAAGTATTAACATTCTATTTGAAACAAATGCTGACCCACAGCTACACAGTTACCTTTCAGAGTCACGAAATAAGGCAAGACTTTCAAATCCGTATACCACCTTTATGCCATCAAACTTCCAGCCTAGTTATTTATTTATTTATTTATTTATTTAAATTTTATTTATTTGTGTGTGTGTGTGTGTGTGGTCAGCTCAGCCCACCAGGGGGCGGGGCTGGCTGGCATGTGGTGCTGGGGGATTGAACCGCGGTCCCTGTGCTTTGCTAAGCTTGTTCTAAGTAGGTGCTTTAGACCACTGAGCCATCTCACCAGCCCCAGCCTAGTTATTTAAACTTCATCAATTTGATCTACTCAGTTCTGGCCAAGCAAGAGAAGGCTGTGTTGCTCGCCAGGCTGCCTGCTCTGGAGGTGCTTGTGGCAATGCGGGCGTATGAGTGAATAAGGCTGTAGCTTTTGCCTGGAGAGGTCAGGTAGGAGGGCAGGATATTTGAAGGCTAAGTGTCCTGAGGACTCTGGGGGATTCATCGAGCTGTGGGACCCAGACAGTAGAGGCGAGGAAGTATGCTGGAGGGGATGCTGCGGACCAGGTAAATAAATACTGAGCATGAGATCGGCGTAGGGTGAGAACCGCTGCAGGAGAGGAACTGCAGAGACTGAAGGGCAGAGAGCAGGAGGCTAAGGGAGCCTTTGGTGTGGGAGCTCAGGCTGGCTCGGTCACTTGGAAGCAAAAGATGGGGTTGCTACCCAGGGAGGTGGAGGGAGCACACGGCCTGCAGGAGGGAGAGAGAGGCTGCAGCCAGGCTGCACAAATGGGGTCCTATAGAGTTAAGGATCCCAAGCTCTTCTTGGTTCCTAGGTTCCTGTTGGACAATTTACTTAAGGGTTTTTTTTTTTTTTGAAGACTTTAACCACTTAAATGATCATAGGTTTAATTTTCTTTCTTCCCCCCCCTTGTTTCCTGTCTCATTACGTCACTGGATGAGGCATGGGGTACAACAGATGTGCAGAGGTGCTGGGATGAACCTCCTTCCTCCAGGGAAGTCCTCTGGAGGTAGGGAGCTTGCTGGAGCTCTAAAAGCAAGGCCAGCTCCCATCCAGTTATCCAGTGTCCCCTCAGCGAGCTCAAGGCTGCAGCGGCTGCTTATCGGCATGGCCCTGGCTCCTTGGTGCAGTGGGGCCAGCTTTTTCTCTTTCTCTTAAGGGCTGTGTCCCTACCAGCCAAAGGAAACCGCTCACATGTGCAGTTATCACTGGCATTGGCATCGCTGCCTGGGGCATGTGCCACCAGGACAGAGCCACAGAAATGAGAAAGAAGGCAACTGCTATGGATCTGGATATCTGAGTGGAGACTTGGGTTCAAACAAGGGGGTATTTGCAATACAGGGGCGGCTCCACAGTCACAAGCTGCCACCACCTTCTCAATGAAGTCCAAGCATAGTACCAGCACATGCCTGCCTTGAGGCCCAGTTCCTGGTGACCTCTGGATGCGCCATACATGGGCCTTTTCATGTTGGGACACAATAGGCAAAAGAAAACTAATAATCCCCTCCAGCTAGCAAGTTTTAACCTTTCTTTTGGCCAATGACCATTCCAGGGCTCTTCAGTTGGAGGGAGGGTTTTTTTTTAATGCTGTCAATAGCTAACTGTGAAATGGGGAGGAGACAGAGAAAGTGCTGGGATGCTGGTACTCAGTCTGAAGGTCTGAGAGATGAATAACACAGCCAAGGACAAGCTGGGACACAGGGACAGTCCAGCTACTATGAACTGTTAACACCTAGACAAATCCAAATGGGAGGGGGAGGGGGTTATCTTGGAATTGTGGGTGCATAGATGTTTCTGTTTTATTTTTGGTTCACTAGATATTTGTAATGTTCCAAAAATACTTTGCATTTTCTAGTGGAAGAGAAGGAAATTTAGTTGGTTTTAAGATCTTGTAAGAAAACTGGAAAATAATACACAGGAATTAAATAGATATTCAAGGGCTGGCCAGATAGCTCAGCAGACTAAAGCACCTGCATAGACAAAGCACAGTGGCCGGGGTTTGATCCCCTGATTGCCGTGTCGGCTCTGCCCCCAGAGCGAGCTGAGATATCGCTTGAGACTGGGTGTGGTGGTGCACGCCTGTAATCCCAGCTCTTAGGATGCTGAAAACAGAAGAATCACGGAGTCTGATCTATGTAGTGAGACCCTGTAGACCTTGTACCAAATACATCAAAAAAGATATTCATATATGTTGTTTTCCTACTGATTTTTTCCCTCTGTGATTTAGCCAAAGCCAAATGCTGTCTACTCATTAACTGTAAAAGGCATAGATCCAGCACTGAATGTATGCACCGATGTGTGCTTATGTTGGTGGTTGTGGTAGTTGTGTGTAGGGGACCAGGACTAAAGAAAGAGACCAAACATGGAGTGATTGTCAAGGTGTTCTTGGCGACAGAGATATGCAGGAATGTGCAAAAATCATGAGTGTATGAAAAGGTTATGGAAATGTGGGTTCCTCCTCTGCCACACACCCCATAAATATCCTTCCCCAAGCCTGAAAAACCCTCCGGTTTGACCAAGTGTGGCAGGCACACCTGCATTCTCAGGACTCTGGGAGGCTGAGGCAGGAGGATCGCTGCAAGTTCAAGCACAGCGTGGTCCACTCACTGACTTAGTGAGACCTTGTCTCAAAAAAATAAAATGAAATAAAATAAAATAAAATAAAAAAGGGCTGAGAATGAGCTCAGTGGGACGATACCAGTATTACAAAAAGAAAAAGTGAAAAATATAAGACTACTGGGTTCATCCACTGGCCCTGAGACATTGCGCCTGATTTCCCCCTGGAGTAACTTAGCGATTCCAGGTAAGTCACTGGACCCTGCATGTCAAAGGACAGTGGTGGCATCTACTTCCACCTGTGTCCTGAGGGTGCAGGAGGGTGGGAGTGGCAGCGGCAAGTTGGCTGTCACCAATGCAGCAGTACTGCCCTGAGGCCGGCATTCCACCCTGCAAGCTCACACAGAACGACCTGGGGCACCTGATGAATTTTCACCACTTCTTACATCGGCCGTTGATAGAATTATGAATTTTCAAGTCAGAGAGGAAGCCAGATGCAGTTGTGCCCCATTCCGCCCTGCCAAAGTCACACTGGGTGGACATGTAGCTGTCCCTGTCCCTCCCGTGCCTTGGGGGCACGGCCATCTCCCAGAGCGCTCAAGCAGCAGGGTGTGTTGGGGTGATGACGAGTGGACCCCCGTGAAGAGCATGCTTCACTTTGTACCTGAGGACTCGGTCCGAGGCCTGGTTGGACTTAGACACGTCACAGCTCTGGTGTTTTTCCTGGGCTTTTGCCAATTTCTCTGCTGCAGCAATAGGACATCCAGAGAGGCTGCAATCACAGAAAGGGCTTTAGTGTCGAGTCCCAGATGACTCCTGATGCAGAAATCTAACCACCGCCTCTTTCCCTCTGCCGGCTGGCAAGGCTTCCCACAAGGGAGGCAGGGGTGGGGGTGGGGTGACAACGACAACATACCGCGTGGCATGCTCCATTCTTTCCAGGAAGGACAAGCCACATTGCATATGTTCAAGAGAACATGAGACAGCTGAAGTTTCAAGGAGGGAGAGGGAGGGGAGATGGGGGCTGGAGAGGAGGTGAAAGGGAAGAGTGGAGGGAAGGGGGAAGGGAGGGGGAGGGGAAAAGGAGGGATTGATTCCACTCTCATACGTTTGCCATTTCTGGAGAGGACAAACAGCTTGGAGAGATGGGATTTGAAGGATTCTGAGGAGCCCAAGAATGGTAATGAAGGGCTTGGCACCAGAAGATGGCACTCAAAGCCGATTCTGCAGACATTATCGACCTGCTGGGCTCCCTCCCGTGGGTCTGTCTGACCCCAGTGCTCTTGTGCTGTCCGCAAGAAGGGAAATGGGAGTGGAGAAGGGAGTGGACTCATCTCCGGGGCTGCAATGAACTGTTTTTTTTTTTTTTCGAACTAGAGGTCTGAGGCTGGGCAGCACAGAAGAGGACACGGCCGAGGGCTTTCGTATTTGGGCTGTGTCCTGCGGAAATCACTGGCTTACTGCACGGTGCTGCAGGCCTGAGCAGAAGCCTACGCACGCAGGCACGCACGCATTGTGGCTCAAAGACGCACCGCGGAGCTAAAGTTCAGAGAAGGAGCGGACATTGGAAAGCGCAGTGGCGCCAGCCGGGGCGTTTCTATCTCTGTCGTTTCCTGCTTCTGCAGATTAAGCACCGGAAAACCTCGAGGGACCCAGGGATGCGAGCTGTTTCATTTTACATTTAACCCAAGGAACCTAGTAGACTACGTCCCCCTGATGAAAGTCAAACGGAGCCGTTTTCTCCGTGTAGACAACATTTTGTGGGAAGCTGACACCGTAGACTAGGAGAGCAATTTTAACAGAATCACTTTCCTGCTACTGGAAAAAGGAAGATGTTTTGGTAGGAGTTGAATATGAGGAGGAATTTAGTGTCTCTCTCTAGGTCCGAAGTGGGCGGGAAGAAAAAACTGGGATTAGTCACAAACCAAAGAGTGATTCTGAACATGTGTGTTGACAGTAGTAGCTTGGTACAAGGGATCCCAAATCAGGCCTGCCGGGCACTTCAGGACGTGTGCTAGTACTTTGGTGACGTCTGTCCTGGTGGCCTGGGAAGTCTACAGATAGTTCAGGGCAGACAGAATCGCAGGTTTCTGGTCAAGCACCTGCATATGGAGCAGCGTGGCCCCTTTCACCCTGGAGGAGGACAGTCCAGTCCTTGTAAAGTGCTGGTTTCCATCCGAGATCTGTAGCCAGCAGGGTACCCCATAAGGAGTGGTGACCCATTTGGGACAGAGCCAGGGATGCTACTTGGAACATTTAATGAGCAAAAGGGCATCTAAACCTTGACTTCCCCACACCATGTGACCACACTGTAGGTCCCTTAGATGTAATAGGCTGAGGGCTATCTGTCTCCATGGGCAACCAGGGGGGTCCCGTGGGTGGGTGGTACCCAGCAGAGAGTGGCTTACCTTCTGTGAGAGTTCCTGTTGCTATTCACATGCCCTCGCCCTGTGCAGCCCGGAGTGGGACACTTGAGAACATTTTCATGCATGGCAAGAACTTGACAATGAGAGGCAAAGAAAACATCCCAGCGTTAAAATGAGGAACTGGTCAGAATACAAGAATCTGCAATCATCGCAACAGAGGCCGGGCTCGTTCACGACAGACAGTCCTGATAACGTCTGGGATGGGCATGGTCAGGAAGACACATGTGGGGAGGTAGAGAAGGCTGGCTCCATCATGCTCTGATTGGCATGCAGAGGGGCACGTGCTGGTGGGGTGTGAGGGTGTCACAGGGTCCGCTTCGGGGGCAGGTCCACATGGGCGAGGCAAGCGAGGCCTCCTGAGTCTGTGGGCCCCAGACACCAACTAGTGGCATCCTGAAAATACTATGCAAACACACAGTAGTAGGAAAGTGTGGTGCGCATGTGCGAGTAGAGAGCCCAAGCCTTGGCTGTCAGTGAACTGCTCTAAAATGATGTTTTGCATTTAGGAAACGCTTTATTCTCCTCTAAGGAGTTGGAGCAGTATGAGCTATGCATTTCCTCTCAGAAAACCAGTGAGGGGCAAAGAAGAGTGTCAGGGACTGTCTCTGCGACCCGAAACCTCTGCCTGCTGTCCTCAGGGGACAGGGTGGACACTGGCCAGCAGTGCCACGATGCCCTGGCTTGTTCATATCTGCTCACTGCTCTGGATCAGGGAGCCTTTGGGGCAGAAGTTCTGGGAGACAACAGGCCTGGTACTGGCCCCAACAGCAGGATGCTCTCTCTGCTCCTCTGAGTGACTGGCTGTAAGCTCCCGAGACCACCGGTGGCAGCTCTGCCTGCCTCTCTAGGGCCGGGTGGTCAGGAGAATGCTCCACACCGAGCCTGCCACTCTTGTGATGACTCTGCAGTTCTCCTTCCCATGCGCCTTCTCCCAGCAGTCTCTCCTCCCCACAAATCGGCAGGCACTGAGGCGCCTTACACACAGTACTCCCATTACCCAAGTTCACGCAGAATGGCCTCACCACCAGTCAGTTCCTTAAGAAAAAAGTCCATTTTACTTTTGTCCCTTATCATTATATTTAAAAGCTGATTTTGAGACAGGGCCTTGCTATGTTGATGAGTTGCCCATGCTGGGTTGGAACATGGTATCTTCCTGCATCAGCCTCCCAGAGTGCTGGCATTGCAGGTGTGCACCGCCACGCCAGGCTCGGTTTTATCCTTAGACTTCTCATAGCTCCTGCCTTGTCCTTAAATATGTCTGGTTCTCAATAAATAACCAGCAAAACAACAAAGCCATCCTGTAGCTTATTTTTTGGTGGTAGGAACTGGAGTGGGGTCATGGGGTAAACTGAGGCATTAGTCCATCTCAGGGAAGTAGCACCCCGCTCTTTTGGGCCAGCCCTTCTGTCTCTTCCTTCCCCCTCTGCAGGATTTCTGTTGACCTAACTTCTTTTATTTCTTGCTCTTCGCCCTTTTCCCACCAACCTCTCCAAACGTGTCCTCTGACACAGCCTCCTTTCACACCCATTCACATCTTTCTTTTCCCTTCATGCTCTGCTTTTTGGGCGTAGTCTTTCCTGCGATAGCAAACTCTCCTGGGCTTGGTGCTGGAGGCGCTCTTCTAGGACCCAAATGGGTTTGGGGGTGGCTGTCTCCTGCTCTGTGGAGGGTGGACCCCGCGCATCCACACCGGGATGGCGCTGCTTGCTTCCCTGCTTCCACGTTGCCTCTGTTGGATCAGTCTCAGGCTTCTGGGGGAGGGGGCCTCAAGGTCACCCTGCTCCTCTGGCATCTTCCCCTGCGGGGCGCACAGTGGGCTCTGATGGGCAAATATAGGAACCCCTGCAGGTCACTCTAGATCCTGAGCACCACTTTCCTGTGTGCGGCTGAGCCAAGTGGGGGACATGTGTACTATTGTCCCCTATGGCCACAGCCCCGCTGTTCAGTTTCCTCTCTCTCTGTTCTTGCCATTCCTTTACTGTCCCTTTGGCTGCTTCTAGGGATGTTCTCTAAAATGTCCCCAAACTCCATCCCACTGTCCTTCTACAGCCACTGTCTTCCTTGACCATAACCTTTAGAAATTGCTGTGGACACCTCTCTATCACACAGGGAGGCTGGAGTGTGGCCCAGGAACCCAGGGTGCCACCATGTGACCCCAAGGCCACACAACAGGAAGCTGGGTCTTAGGATTCCCTGAAGACCAGACGACATCTGCTTCCTAGTCCTGTCTGTGCAGAGGACCCCTGCCAGGGACTCAGCAAGACAGAAAGGAAGGGGAAGGGAGGTCAGCCCAGAAAAACCAGAACCAAAATGCCCATTGTGGAATTTTTCCAATTTTTTTGTAGTGATAAAAAGCAATCCACAAGTGAATCCTCAGAACCACATTTGTTTGTAGAGTCACTGGAGCATTTATAAGACAGGACAAGGAGCCCTGGGCTCCCACATGCTTCCCTCCTGCTGAGGTGGCAGATTGTGTAGTCTCTCAGGGTGGGACAGGTCTGCATAAGTTGTCACATTAGAATATAGTTCAGCTTTTTTCTACATTTGGGCTTTTTCTGTGATAGTACAATCAGGAGAACTTCTCACTCTTTAAGATGAAAATCTACACACTAAAGAAAATTAAACTCTGTCCCTCCCCATCCCTTCCCTGTCCCCTCCCCCCTCCTTCCCTCCTCCATTCCTTCTTTCCTTCCTTTTTTCCTTCTGGAATTACATGGGGATTTGACCAGGGCCTTCGCACTGAGCTATACCTCCAGCCTTTTCTTAGTTTGAAGCAGGATCTCATTAAGTTACTAAATTGCTCAGGCTGGGCTCCAGTTTATAATCCTCCGGCCTCAGCTTCCCAAAGTTCCAAGAGTCACAGGGCTATACCACCATGCCTGGAAAAAAATCTTCCTGCTTAAAACATTAGAGGTTGGCCCTAGCACCTCCTTCAGAGATGAGGGATGCGGAGTTCAGAGCACGTGCAGATGCCTGACGTCGCACAGCTGGTCAGGACTGAGTGGAGAGCCAGGCCCAGCCAGGTTTCAGGGAGGATCCGCGGGCTAGGGAGTCAGATCTGAAGTTACAGCTCAGCTCAGCAATTGCTTAGGCCAGTCAACACCTGCTCAGATTCACTGTGAAAACACTAGCACCCCCAGTTTGCCAGCCACAGTGCTGATCCCTAAAGAGAAGGATGATGGAGTCGCGGCTCCCTTTCCCTTCTCCAGAGAAGCGGGGCCCGTGTTACCCTGCCGGGTAACGGGCACCTGGGTGGGTTAGTGCTTGCGGGCGCGAGCCAAGCTCCGACCCAAGTGTGCTCAGCACGCGGAAGCTGCCGCGGTAAACCATGCTGCCTCCTTGTTCATGTAACACACGGGATTGTGGCCACACACGAGTGTGTTCATTTGCACAGAGCTTCCAGTTTATTCGGAGGATGGTGCCAGGAAGCCCAAGCTAATTATGCTTAGTGGCCTTTTTAGAAATCCGGAGCCCATTTGCTTCTGAAAGCATTTCACCCAAGGGTGCTAGGCAGGCCTGCTTCCTAAGCCTCCAACTCTGCCAAGAATGTTCTTTGCTCTAACCAAGATTTGGTTTGTTAAGAATTTCAGCATCACCATTGTAATGCGATGGTCCTTACGAGCTCCTGAAATCATCAACTGGTCATCTGCCCACATTATAGGCCAACTATTTGTTTCCCCTGCTAAAAACTGTCTCAGATAAGAGGAAATGCCTCCAGGTACCTCAGGCTCAAACCCAGCATCTGAAAGTCCCTCATTTCTGAAAATGTGCCATTTTCCTGAGCCGCCAATTCTAACTGACAGCATGTCATTGGCATACTTTATCGCCAAAAGAAAGATACACAACAAAAAGATGTATATCGCTTCTGTTCTAAAATAACTTCTTCCTTCCCAGATTCATTCTATTTGATCGGAACCTAACTAGCAAAAGAATTTATAAGACGAAAACCTCCCAATTTCAACCTGTTTATTTAATAGCCTCTAGTAACAGAAACAGGCTTTCCTGGGAGAAAGGAACCAGACCCCTATGCTGACACCCACAGGATATTTGGCACCATGTGTCTTAGGCTCCCTTCTCTGGGGGTGGGTCACACTGAGTCAGTGCTGGGCAGGATAATAGAGCCTGTGGAGCTCAATTCTGCAATCTGTGAGGACAAAAGGGACCTGCCTGAGGTCACAGAGCAAGCAGGACTGAGATCGGGGTAGGACTCAGATGCATTTGGGAGTCTTGCTCCAGGGAGATGGGCTTCAGGGTCCCCAGAAATTATGGGGTGGGGGTAGTGGCCAGAGCCCCCGTTTCCTAGGGAGCTGGCTGTCATGGGTGGGAGGGGCCACAGGATGGAAATGAGGTCAGGAAGGGGGATGACACAGACACACCCACAGTGCTGGCACTCCCGAGTGGCGGTGAGGCATGGTGGACTTACTTTCTGGAGGGACCCTATCTTTGTGCGGGCATCCAGACAGACTGCGGTGATGCGGGTACAGCCCGGTCACATGGCCGGTTCCATCACACCCGGGGGTTGGACACTTGCTCTCTTTCTTTTCTGTTCTTGAGGGATCTAAAAGCGACAACAGTTGCCAAGAGAATGAATGTTTACCAGCTGAAGACAGATGTGATCATTTCAACAATCAGAAGAGACCTTTGCTATAGGAAGAAATAAAGCAGGTGTCAGGGGACAGGGTGGGACAGGAGAATTTTGTGTAGGTACTTCTTTGGGTTGGGAAGGGTGATTTTTTTCAACCTTATATACAATGTCACATGAATCAGAGTATTTGCTTTTGTCCCAAAGTAAAAAAACCCCAAAACAAAACAAAACAAAACAAAAAAAACCCCCAAAACATCTCTCCCTAACCTTAACTCTTGGTTAACTGGTTTCCCGTGTGTTACATGATAAGCTATGTTGTCCAAAGAAATCAATGTCAACGATGATGGGGCAGTAGCCTTCTCAGAGATCAAGATTCTATGTGGTGGTCACGCTGCAATTTCTCTGTGATCCGCAACCAGTGAGTGACCCCTCTCCAAGACTCTTCAGCTGAATTTCTTCTTATTGAGAGCTCTGATTGCAAGTACTACAAGCTTGCAAAATTTGATGGGCATTTAACTTTACTCTCAGAGTGCAACAACCCTGGGTCATAGCAGAGCAATGCGGCACTGCTCAGAAAATAGGCTGAACTCTCAGAAGGCACTGTAAGCAAATGACTGAGAGGGCGGAATCCCACCTGGCAGGGGTGATGGGCAATCGAAAATGCTTCAGAAGCCGCCGGAGCAACCATTTGTTTTGATTTCTTCGTCTGTACTTGGAACCCGAGGAAAGCCCGTGTAATGCTACGCATGCACACATCCAATTACGAGGAATGCTTTTCTAGCACCCTATTGGCTTCTAGGCAGTACCAGTGGAGGACTGATTAAAGCAGACATTTGTTCCGGATTTCAATGCTAGATGCCAGAAATGTAATGACATGGCTAATAAAATTAATTCTACACCCAGAATTGACCACAGTTCATAATGGTGCAGTAGGGTAGCTCCACAAAGTATTTCTGAGGTCAGTCTCACACCAAATAGTCAGGCTAAGTACAATCTGTGTTTCTGAGCCAGATTTTGAAAACCAGTTGCTCAAGTTACCAGGAGGCAGCAATTGGGATTTAGTCCAGAGAATGAAAGAGTTAAATTTCTTTAGGGGTTTCATTTTTTTGTGTAGATAATCTCATTCATTGAGCCAATGATGATTGTTAGAAAATGTATGTTTTACTGTTGGCTGAGAATTCACTTACATCAAGAAACGAAGCTTGGTATTAAAACATATGAACTCTTCTGGACTTTCTTCTCAAGCCATTTATGTAAACTTGAAGTACACAAAAGGATTCACAAGGATTTGTAGATGTTATATTCCAATAAAAGACACTTTCCTTTTTCTTTTATTCTACACAGTGTGCCTACCACGTGTCATGTGCCTTTTGAGCCAGGGCACGTTCTCAGGGAAACTTCCTTCACACCACTGTCATTCACTGTCTGGGCCACTGTGGGTAAGTCACAGTGCCAAAGCCACTGTCACAAATCCAGAAGTATGTGGTGTGACTTCAGTATCTGATCACCTTCTGGGGGTCTGTCTTATCCATGCAAACAGAAAGCCTAGCATTTTGCTGCCTACTGAGTAATTTCATAATCACACTGGTATAATTGAAGCAGTGCAAATCTAGAGGAGCAAATGCAAAGTAACAGTCTCAAGGGAAAGTGTCAATTACTTAAAAATTACAAACGAAGGGTGAAAGATGTTAAACTACATATATAGGAGTTGCCACAAGTAAAAAAAGTAACGTTATGATCCATTAGCCATTAAGTGACTATTTCATTAGGACACTTACAATTGCTCCAAAATTATATTATTTCATAGATCTTGCAAGTGTTTTGAACTTAAAGTACAGAGTTTTAGAAAAATAATGCGACTCAAAATTACTTCAGGGTTTGGAAGCCAACACAGATATAGTCTCCTCTCGATGCATGAAATCCCAACTGAGATGGGATGTGCTCGCTCTATTCTTCTCTTGGGTTTCTTATTTCTTGCAATTCTAATTTACCTTGAAAGCAAACATGTAAGCAAACAGAAAACGACAAAGCAAGCAAAGGCACCAACAGCTTAACCAACAACCTTGCAACAACTTAGGAAAAGAATGTGGGTAAGATTTAGTTTGTCTCCCTTGTTTAGTTTGGGTAGAAAAGTTGATTGTGGGAAAGACAGAAACGTTCTACAATGGACTTCTTTTGTATCAGCTCCAACTTTGGAAATGTTATTCTTCCATGCTTTAAATTAGTTTGAGGGCTGTGGAGAGTGAGAAATGATACAAGTGCTTTCTTTCTTTTTTTTTTCTTCAGTACTAGGTATTGAACTCAGGGCCAAGGGCATTTCTTGGCAAGTACTGCACCCTGAAGTCACATCTCCAGCCCTATTTTGTCACCTTTACTAAAAACAGAGACCTGTGACATGCTGGATAGTGGCAGGCAGGAATTGCCCCTGGGTTGTGTTGATGATATAGGAACTCTTGATTTTTTTCCCTTTTTTTTTGAGGTACCAGGAATCAAACACAGAACATTGTGCTTGCCCAAGCAGAGGCTTATGCCACTGAGCTATTTCTGCAGCCTCTTGACTTCTCCCTTTTAAAAGGCAGCCCTAGTCTCTTTGTTCTGCTTTCTTGGCCTTCCCTGTCTTTATTTATTTGGTTCTGAACATAACTATAGGTATATTCAAAAGAAATGGAACAATACTGAAAATGTTAATAGAAAATGGACATAGCTTTGTCAGAGGTAGAAATCTGGAAAGACTGTGAGAAGCAGAAATCAATATCTTCAACTTTGGGGAAGATCCAGGCCCTCAACCAGTCTCTTCTTCAGGAATAAAGCACATCTCAGTTTGTCCTCCCCTGCCCTCGTTTAGTCAGGGGAAGCAAGGGACTTCAATTTCATTCTTGAAAAAGAAAGCCAAGCACAACAACAACAAAGCAGGTTCAGATTTGTAATAAACAGCTGAGTTTAGAGGACAACAGGAGCTCAGGAAGCCAGAGAGGCACAGAATGGGCAAGCCAGACCAACTTCCATGGCCACACAGAGTAAAACACCAGCTCTCTGTGCTGGAACTTCACCAGAGAGTCCCTGAGACATCACCCTAAAGCGGAAGTCTGGATCTACACATACAACCTGGCAAGTGCATGAGACAAGGACAGTTTTTTCCTAAAAACATTTGCTTTCTTCACGTGTTTCAACAATTCCATGAAACCTTTCTAATAGATAAGCTGAGCCTATCCTGGTAACAATGATCACTCTGTAATTTAATAGATATATGCTAATTATTCTAGACCTTAAAATGTCCAAAGGAAACCTGAACCTCCACTAAGCTAAAGAATCTATTTCCTTTTTTTTTTTTTTTTTTAAAAAAGTCCCTTCCTCCTAGTCCATGTTTTCAGTGGTCTAGCACTCAGCTCAGTGGCCGATTAGGCTATGGGTACCCAGGCACCTGCTAACCAGCGGTCCGTGGAGCTCTGGCCAGGGTTCATATCCAACTTGGGTTTGGGAATGATAATGCTGACTTACCATAGAAGTTCTGCACCTACACTGAGAGAAGAACCCATACCCATGTCATGGAAGAAAAAATGCTGGTGCTCTCATCATTTGAACATTCCACAGCAACTTATTTTCAAACTAAATTCCTGAACCTTGTTCTTGGATCCATGGTGGGGTAACTCAGCTTCTCATAAGGCACAGAATGAACTGAAAATCAAGCAACAAGATCTTTTCTGGTTCTAATGTGGAAGAAGGCAAGGATCTGCCAATCTCATTCTTGAAATTGCTTCTTGCTTAGTTCTGAAAGAAACTTGTAAGTGAGGCACTGAAAGAGCTTGGATGCTACTCAAAGTTGAATCCTAACCTTCTTCACGCTGGACATTGTTGCTGCTGTGAACACAAAGTCCTTCACTGAGGTTGGGAATGCATTTATCATATGTTTGTTACATATAGGTATAACATGTGTACATATAGTTAAATAAACAGAGAGAAGCAAATATGTGCCCACAAGTTTCATAAAAGAAAATTGGGTGAAACTATCATCTTGGACAGTTTTGAGTGTTTTAGAATGGATTATGTTGAGAACAGGCCCAACACTGCTTCTACAACGTTGGATGGGGGGTGGATATACTACAGAAATTGCTATTGATTGTAGCTGAGGCCACATCATGCTTTGCATAGCAAATGGTTTCCATTATCTGACTATCTTAGATAATTAACGTGCAGTCACCGGCCTGATTTTATGTCATTGGTCATCTACTACTGTTGAAGTCCTATTGGGAATGTTTTCGATGGGGCTACTTCATCAATAACTGTTGTTGGATGATAATTTTATAAATCATGATGCTGCCTACCCAATCCAATTTGTGGAGTAAGCACTTTCAGCTCTCCTGGCCTAACGGTTACATAAACCCTTGCTGTTTAACACAGAGTGCAGTTCACATGGTACAGTGCAGGCTTACTCTAATATTTTCTACTCTGGATGCCTTAGCGCCCTGTCTCTATCTTCCCAAGGAAAGCAAGTTTTCCTACTGAAGACCACAGTTATCTGCTCTAATAATAGAACATTGAGCTGCTTTATGTATTTCTCAGACACACATTTTATTAGCTCTTCAGGAACATCATCACAAAATGGAATTCTGGAACCAATTCTAAAGATGTGCATTAGAGATCAAAGTTTAGTGTGACTCATATTTTAATTGCAGACTACCGGCAACATCTTTTATGAGGCTCATGCTTTCATGAGGCAACTTACGTTAGGTAGAAATATTACCTTTACCATAGTATGGCTTTTTGACATGGCTGTCACTCGACTTGGGCTTCCTGTCCTCCCCGGGAAGCTGTCTCGGAGACTGATCCTCGTATGACCTCACATTGTCCCTCCTCCCAGCGTCCATGGCCATTTTCTCCCGCATGGCCTTTGCTCTTTCAGTTTCCAAGGCGATCGCTTTCTCCAGCAGGGTCAGATTGCCCTTGGTCATGTCAAATACCTCCTCGGACCTGTCCGAGTTCACAGAGGTGGTGTCATCGTCTCTCTCGTGACACCCGTCCTCCTTTGCACAGCTGGAGAACGTTCTAGACCTGGGGCTCAACTGCTCCTCGAGCCGCATGAGGTTCATCATATCCGAGTAGTTCCTGTCGGGCGTCCTGCCCGGGAAGTCATCCTCGGGCCGGCCGTGCTGGCGGACGCCCATGGTGGCCGGCTGGCTGCGCTCCTGGGGGTTGGTCTCACTCAGCTTCCTGGCCAGGTCGAAACACTGGTTCCTCAGACACTCCAGGCTACTCAGGCACACCTCCTCGTCGCTCTCCTCCACCATCTTGTCCACCAGCCCGTTGTTCAGGGGCTTGCCCAGCATAACGTAGTTCATATTCCTGCTGTCCTGCTGCGACATGCTGTCCCCGTAGCTCCTGTCGTTGATGTTTTCCGAGAGCACCACACCGTGCCCTTGGGCCAGCAGTTTGAGGGAGTCCACTGTTTCTCGGACAACGTCACTGTCTAGGTCTAGACTCAACTCGCTCTTCCGGCCCAGGTTTTCATTTTTGTCGCTGTCGTCTTCCAGGCTATGGGACGTGTTGCTGTTCATTTCCGACTCAGTCCTGGCTCGGTATGCTGCATCCTCAGCAATTTTGCCAAGATTCAACAAGGACTTGGCCACGAGTTCATCATAGTTATCGTACTCATCGTTATTGTTGTCGTCCTTTTCCGTGTCTTGCATGATCCGAGTACTGTGACAATTCATTTGATGGTCTTCTGCAAAGAAAATAGAGAAGACAAAAAGGAAAAGAAAAGAAAAAAGTGGCTAGAATTGGAAGCTTAGTTGCAACAGCATGGACAGAAAGCTAACAGCAAGTCACACCCTGTGGAGCCTGGAGTAGCCCCGTAGGTCCTGCTGCACCTGGGTTGAAAGTGCTGACATAAAAGAAATGAGCTGTCCCCAGAGACAGGAGGCTCCTGAACATTTTATTCACTGAGAATTCCTTTCATTAGTCTAAAAATATGATAAACATAATGTTAAAATATACACTTTTTATTTCTAATTTTTAAGAATGATTTCTTGTGTACCTTGGCTTTATTTATTTCCAGACCAACCGTTGAAAAATACTAATTATATCCACTGTATCACTGAGCTTTCTAAGAGTTCATGAACTTTCCCTCTTGCCAACCCCTTAAACAGATGTTCACAGCAATCACATTTAAATGGTTTACTTTTGCAGTCGTACTTAAACACCATGGGAAAGCCTCAGGTTTCTGAGAGTCATGCAGGGATGCCACCTAGGTAGCGAGCTCTGCACTCAAAGCACAGGTTGGAACTGAATTAAGAGTTGTTTGGAAGCTGGTACCTTAAGACAGCATACTGAACCTACAGGAATTCTGCAGTAAAGCTACGGAAGGTAAGTCTGATGAACCACGACGCCCATACCTCCACCTCCAAAAGGTGGGGAGCATAGAAAACGTGCTCAGGGAGCAGATGTCTATAAAACAGGACTGGAAGGAGTTAGGGCCATTGTCACAGGGACAACACAGCATTGGATTTCAAGTCCAGTCTTGTCCAATTTCTCCACCTTGTGGGCTTGGGAATATTTAAGTAAATGGGAAGCAGTAATGAATGAGTCAGTGTGTTGAGTCTCAAAAGAGTACTTAGAGACACTATTTTAAAAAGGTCTTGTTTGGCCGGAGAGATAGCTCAGCAGAATAAGTGCTTGCCTGGCAAGCACAGGGTCCTGAGTTCAATCCCTGGTACCACAAAAAAAGGTCTTGTTAAAATTGACCTAAAACTCTCCTGCTTCATCAAAAATACCTTGTGCTTCCTACTAAGAGAATATTTGGGATTTATCTGTCCAATTGCCATCCTAGGTAAGCTCTATTGTGTACACTGACAATTATAAATGGGTTGTGAATTACAAATGGGTGTGTCCTTTAGATTGGATTTGGGCAAGTGTGTGTTCTTTTTACATCTCTTCTTTGTTTCTGTGATTAAAATACTGCACTGAGAAGAATTTCTAATGCTTAATGATGATTTAAAGGCATGAGAGAAACTGACTGGGAGAAAATAATAGTTGACTAAAGCAGAGATATAGGCTCTCTGGTGCTTTTTTCATAGACTTTTATGCAGAAAAGACTTTTGTTGGAGGAAAAAGATTCAGAATTCAATGCAGCAACAACAGAAAATAGCATCTTTGGTAGCCCACCTAGTGTCAATAAATAGTTAAGATACCTCCCAAACATCAGCAAGTCAAATTCCCATGTATTAGCCAGAGCACATTTCTCTTGCAATTGTCCCTCTTTGGACAATTCCTATACATCACTGTCCTCATTGCAAGAAAAGACATAACCCCCAAAGAACGGCAAGTGAAAAGAAAACAAAACCAAGCAAAACAAAAAGCAACCAACAAACACACCCAGAAATGTTGCAGCAACATTAATCACGAAGGCACCCTCGCCACTGGCCTGGGGTTCAGTCTTTGAGGAAATGAACCAATCCTGTTATAATGAATTTCTAGAAATACGAGTGTTATCATCTCCTCTCAGTTTATGCACTTTGCTATACGCATGGGTCACGACTGGAGAAGCATCCTTGGGAAAACCAGTCTGGGCTGTCTCCACGGCAATGCTTTATAGCTGCACTGCTGCACCTAAGTAACCCTGAGATGCTTTAGGAATCATGGTCTCAAAATATGACAGCACACATGGTGGGTCAAAGGTTAACCCAAAGACGAAACCACAGCCAGCGAAGGTTCAGCCCATGGATTTCTCCTTGAGTTCTCCTAGGGAGCTCACCTTGGCATCCTAAAGAATTTGGAAAGGGAGGAATTCACTGAGATGGGGACCAGGCAGGGGAAACCCCCATCTAATCCTCCTCATTGCTTCCAAAGCCATGATAAAGCCTATGCTGGAAAGAATGCAGTGGTCTGTGTTTGTGGAAATTCTTCACCTTCCACCATGTGAGCGAGGTATAAGACTGTTAATGCCTGCGTGCTAATCTCAGATTATCTCAGCGGACTTCCTCTCCTTGCTTCTGCTGCTTGGGGGAACATCTTACCTTTTAAATATTCAGTACCTATTAATCATGCCACTCATGGTACCTTCTCCCAAGGAGATGGAAAGAAAACAGACAAGCTTCTTCACACTGCGTCACTGCGTCACTGCCCTGGATCCTTGCACCTTCTGAGCAATAGGGGAAACGTGCCTGCCCCCTACAGGCTCTGCCCTGAAAGTGCAGTAGGCACACAGCTTGCTCTGACCTTGGCAGCCACAGAAGCACGAGAGCACAGAACCTGACTCAGGTTGGTCACTTGCTAACCATGTGATACAGGTGACTTCAGTTTGCAGAGACTCAATAAGTGCATCGTGCAGGGGGGCTAGAGAAACCACTTGGCTCTTCTTGGACATCTCTTAGGAGAATTCCATCAATACAAGAGGACGGGCTGAGCAGGCTCCTGCGTTCTGAAGTGGCTGGTGCGGATGCAGCTCAACTTGACATGGCACATCTACCTCTGAGCAGATGTCCAGGGAAGCCAGCCAGCATGTGGGAGGAGTCTAGAAAGAGGCTGCAGAAAGTGCATCTAGACACACAGCCTACTGTAGGATTTGGCTTTTCTTCGACTCACTAGGGCTTGGTGGCGATGAGGTGTTGTGACAGACGGAAGTGCCTGTGGAATGGCTGCTGGCAGTAGCACGCATGGCCCAGGTTAATACAATTTCTCAAGTTACCAGTACTTAACTACTTCAAAACCCATTTTAAATAAAGTCAACTCTTAACTAGGTGGGCTAATGGAGGGGAGCAGTCAGTCAATCGATTAGTCAGCTATGTGCTGTGAACCAGATGTGCTGCCGCACACCTGTAGTTCCCGTCCTCTGGCAGGCGGAGGCAGGAGGATCACAAGCCTTAGCCCCGTCTGGGAACTTAGCATCTTACTGATAGCCTGTTTCAAAACAAAAAAAGAAAGAGTTGAGAATGTAGCTCAGTGGGAAGGACCTGGGTTCAATTCCCCATGTTTTGCTTCAGCTTCCTCTAGAATTGGGGGCCACTGACAGGGATCCCCTGGAATTTTGTCTCTGGTTGACACATTAAGGCATTTTCCCCTTCTTTGAGTGTTTTTGTTGAGCCTGAAATGGAAATGAGCCACACGCAGACGTGAGCTTTAGCAAATGGACCAGAATTTTCTGTGACCATGGAAAATTAAAAATATGGTACAAACAATGCAGGAAGTAAATATGTTTCAGGAGTTGTTGAAACACAATAGTTTCAGGAGTTGCTGTTTCTAGTTTCTATCTAGCAAACAATGTTCTATCAAAGAAGGGGGATGCATTTGTGATAAGAAAAGCATTTTTCAGAAAATTAAAGTACATGTATCTGTTCTAAGGAAAAGAGCATGGTTATTTAGATAGAGGCTTAATGAAGGCCAAAGCACTTCAATTTTTTTTTTTTTCAATCCTGAGTTCAAAATCCGTGATCCATAGAGCCCGCAGGAAATGCCATTGGAAGGGTTTCCCCGTCGGCAGGTGCAAGTCCTGAGGCTTCCCAGGTGGGGGCCGACTTGGCGTCTTCACTGTGGGGTGGGAAGAAGAGCAACCTTGGCTATCTCTGGATGAGCTCATCAAGTGAGGGCACTTCCTCGCTCAGCCGGGTGACCTCTCGAGTCCCCATCAGTGGTTCCAGACCTCCTTTCCACTGCGCTTTGTGTGCAAGTTTAACTCCTAGGACAGCTTCCTAGAAGGCAGCGGGTCTGAATCTTCTCCTTTGAGCCAGACTGTTCTAAACAATGTATGCTCCCCCCACAATCAGAAATGTGACCTCCATGGTGTGCATTGTTTCACCCTCATGGTGAGGGTCTCGGGGGACACAAATTTTATAACTACAAGCATTAGTTTTTGAGCAATTTGTCTCCCAGAGGTATGTCTGAAACACTATTTTGTATTCTTTTGACATCTGGTGAGGACAGAGTTTCTGCTTCTTTTTCTAGTCACTAACAGACGCTGTGGACTAGCAGGCCTGCAGCCCGGGGGGCGGCCCAGCAGGCACACGGAGGACAGGTGATCGCTGCAGGCCTGCCCAGGCCGGGGGAGCTTTTCAGTGGCAGGACCCCTGATTCCTGCTGCACTGAAGAGGCGTTTAAGATGCTTACAGAAATAAAGCCTTACCCAGATATATTTCTAACTCACAAACACAGAAATTTAAAAATGCAAGGGACAATAAAAAAAAAAACAAAACAACAGAATGAATGTTAAAGTTGAAAAAAAGTCACAATCAGGGAAGCACTTATTCCACTGAGCCATCTCTCCAGCCCCTAAAAGTTGCAATCAAAGATACATTGCCAGGCTGGGGAGATAGCTCAGAAGCGTAAGTGCCTGCCTGGCAAGTGCAAGGTCCTGAGTTCGATCTCTGTTACTAACACACACACACCACACACACACACACACACACACACACACACACACAGTATACTAAGGATAAATTGCCAAGAATGATGGGATAAGTGTGTTTGAAGTGAGGGGAGTATTTTGAATATTTCAAATGGGACCCATGATGGTGTGTCTTTCACTATAATGAATCTTTTACTTTAAACTCCATTGTATTTTCTAATTACATGAAGATGATTGTACATTAGCAGCGACCGCAGTGACTTTACACGCCACATCACATGGGCGGGGAAGCAGCGCACATGTGTGTCTAGTAGGTGTGACTCCTGCAGGCAGTGTGGACAGCATGCAGCTCCTCAGCTCTTATTGCAGAGGGCCCACACATCTCT